ATTATCACATGATTATATTATTGTGGCATTTGACATATCATGACTTGGCATATTTTTGGTTATATTGTTGTTGTATTGTTGTTTACATACTTATATAGTATGTTTTAAGGAAATTATACTTGTTACAACGAGGGGTTACTATATTCGAAAATAAAGGTTTTTCTTACAAACATTGTTTTGCTAACCCACTCAACTTTGTTTTTCGCCTTTCCAGGACCTAGATAGATGTACTCTTTGTGGCATTCGAGAAACCTTCGGCAGTTCTGACATTATCTCTGTTTAGAAGTATGAACTTATCCACTGTTATGTAATAAGTGTACTTTGGCTACTTTGACTACCTTATTGTAGTCGTACTGTCTATTATGCTCTGAATAATTGTAGTGGGTTCTTCCCACGATTGTGCACTCTTTCACTGTTTAGTTTAAATTAGTTATAGTTTGGTTTTAATTTATTCACTTTTTCACATCACTTACCCTTATGGTTACATCACCTCATGGTGACGGCCAACATGCTTTGACCTCCGTCGGTCGGGATGTGTCAGTAGGAGTTGTTACTCATCTTTGAGTAGCTAAGTATTGTTCAACCAAAAATATCAAACTTAAAACTTTGTCATGGCACATATTCAGTGACAATGAGCCATGTCAGCAAAGAGTGAACCAGCCATTAATTTTATAACCTTAACCTTTGACAACTTGTGAAGTCAGCATGAAAACTAATGAAAATGGCTTGAAAACTTTGAGTTTTAACCAAAAAGACAAAAAAGTGTTGTAAGTGAATAGTATCAGGAGTAAATTTTTAGAGTAAAAATGTCTTTAACGTTAAAAGTGAATAGGACCAGAAATGTTTCGTTAAGACTCTCTTAAATGTATCAGAATTTCGTCAGTAAACGATCAATACTGTTGCTAAAACTAAGAATTTCAACGTACGCGCTTCAATATTCGTGGCTTGTAAACAAAAAAAAAAAAAAACCATGTGTGGTGAGCCATGGACATGACATTCGTGGCTCGGGTCTCCTTTTGTGGTAGTGTGTTGAAACTTCTACTGAAATTTCCCAAAATAAAGGGACGATTCAAGAGAGTTTATTTTTCTTTTTAACTAGCAGCTAAAAGCCGAAGGCAGTTCATTGTTAATTTATTGAGAATCTGTCTATGTCCTTTTTCTTAACATTAATGATAAAAATTGTAAACATTTTGATGCATGGCTATGTAATGTTCAACTAAAAATATCAAACTTAAAACTTTGTCACGGCACATAATCAGTGACGATGAGCAACGTCAGCAAAGAGTGAACTAGCCACTAATTTTATAACCTTAACCTTTGATGACTTGTGAAGTCAGCATGAAAACTAATGAAAAGGGCTTGAAAACTTTGATTTTTAACCAAAATGACAAAAATGTGTTATAAGTTAATAGTATCAGGAATAACTTTTTAGAAGTGTTTCGTTAAAACTCCCTTAAATGTATCAAAATTTCGTCAGTAAAAGATCAATACTGTTGCTAAAACTCAGAATTTCAACGCAATATTCGTGGCTTGTTAAAAAAAAAAAAAAAAAACAACCATGTGTGGTGAGCCATGGTCATGACATCCGTGGCTCGGGTCTCCTTTTGTAGTAGCGTGTTGAAACTTCTACTAAAATTTCCCCAAATAAAGGGATGATTCAAGAGAGTTTATTTTTCTTTTTAACTAGCAACTAAAAGCCGAAGGCAGTTCATGGTTAATTTATTGAGAATCTGTCTATGTCCCTTTTCTTAACGTTAATGATAAAAATTCTAAACATTTTTTTTGGTTTTCAAAATTCTAAACATTTTAATGCATGGCTATGGAGTGCTAGCTTTTAACCTACCAAATAAATCTTTGGGTTTTCCTCTCTTGATCACTAGTAGAATATAGGTTAATTATAAACAAAAGTACACTGTCATGATCTTACTAATTTTTAGTTTATTTGCTTCTTGTCGAGGAATTCCAATACATGTGTATGGTTTTTATCAAAAAATAATTCATCATAAAGGACTTCACGCAATTAAATAACAAATGTTACATATCACACTTTTCTGTGCCTTGGTCTTTTAGAGATAAATTTGACGGGCGGTAGAGAAGCAGCAGGGGTAGGAGGAGCACCACTTGGACTTGGACTTGGAGTATTTGCAGAGGGAGCGAAATAAACCGCAACCTTTTGGCCTTCAGCGCAGTGGCCGGCGATAGTGCAGGTGAAATAATATGTGTCTGACGCAGTAAATCCAATTATACTTGGTTTCTGGAGTTCAAATATGGGATTTGTAGTGTTGCAAATCTCGAAATTTTCCTTGGTTACCATAGCCACGGTATGTTCTCCTTCTGTAAACTTGAAGTCTGCACAAATTAAGCAACGATATCATCATGTAAATTAACTAATTATAATTGAAGGCAATGTCTGTGACACTTTTCAGCATACACATAAAAATAAAAGTTACTAATTAATGAACTAATGGTGAATCAGTTCAGAGAAGTTTTTTACACACATAGAGCATCGTTAAGTACAAAGCTATGATTGGCAGCCCATGAAACGTAATAGGCAGCGCCGCCGGGCGGGACAGTCCAACCCAAGTCGTCTCCAACTACGTACTCTGTAGCTGCTGTTGTATGTGATATCATTGCTACTGTTGCCACTGCTATAGCTAGAACCATCAGGTTCCTAAAGTTCATGGCTTTGATCATCTTTTCCCTCTCTCTTTCGTCCTTGTATCAGGAAACGAATGCCAATGTGGTCACCTAATTGCATTAGTGTCCGAATATATATGATACTGATATCCGGCAATGTATATTTAATAATTAGTTAGTTAACTGAACAGTTGCATACAATGTAGTACACAGTACACTTGATCAAATGTTGAAGTTATCAAAACTATTTCATTGTAATCATACTAAAATGATTTCAGACGATCGTGAATAGGATCCTCCGCTAGAATGCCCTAGCCGTCTGCCGCACAGAATGTTCTAAACGAATCTATAACAGCTAGAAAAGTGTTCATACTAGTTACTAACTTAAGATGTGCTAACTACTTGTCTAGACCCACTTGACAATATTTCTTATAATCTAAACCGATTATGTATTAGGTGATCATTTAAATACTAGCCCTACAAAATTTTATTGAAACCAAAAGTCATTTAGATATCTATATGTGACATGATAAATAGACGAATAAGATATTGTCAATAAACAAAAATGTTTCATAATAATAATCCATCCATTTTGAGTGAACAATAAGGATGAGATGATGACCTAAAGAGTGAACAGTCATGAAAAATTACTTTGAATACAGGCCTAGATGAGTGGTTTGCGCTGTATTAATTACTATCTATCATTATAATGTGTTTTGTTTTATTCCAAAATAATGAAATCTTTGTGGGAAACCTTCCTTTTCAGAGAGAGCCATGAATAAAAGTCATCATAAGGGGAGGAGGAAGGAGAAGCACCTCTTCATTTTTAGTCCATTATAGTGAACAATATTGTGTAGACTTAGTCATTGTCTAAACCATGCTTAGATATGAGTGCCTATCGCTTATTTTTCATTCATTTTTCAATTAATCGAATCATTTTCCCAAAAACCTCCCTGTAAATTTATACTTTCCTCTAAATCTAATGTCACCTAGCCTATGAAGTTGGATCCACCGAATCTTAATCTTCTTATGATTCGTCTATTGTTCTACAAGTGTTGATGACAGGTATTGTGCACCAAGAAACGCCACAAAATACACATTCAACTGTAGGCATTAAGCTTTGTGCACATGAGTATATGTATAATATGAATCGTTTATTTATTAGTTTCTTGTTGAAAACTCATCCCGGTTAAGTTTTAATCAACTTGAAAAAAAACATGTAGTATATTGTGATCAAACAAATGGACGAAAAAAAAAATGTGATGAAAAAAATACTTTCATAATAAATAAATGGCCAAATGGATTCTTTTGGATAAAAGTTTTGGCGGAATGGCCTTTGACTGAAGACCTACTATTTGAATGGTTCTTATCATGGGATTATACTGTACATTTCGTTAAGAGTTTTTCTATTTAAACCCGACTATTAAATTATACTGTACATTTCGTTAAGAGTTTTTCTATTTAAACATGACTACCTACTTAAGTTCACCCCAATTTCTATGTACACACATACACAATAGAAAATGGATGATGTGGAGCACATGTGACCGTTAGGCTTCACATTTAGACAACCTACTTTGATACCATGAAGAAAGTTGGAGTTCTACTATAAAACCAATTAGCACTACGAAGAGTAATCCAAATCAACTTGGGATTCTCTTCAAGGGGAGAACTGCTTGTAAAGATAGAGAGAAACCAATTTCCTTGGATTATGATTAAGTGATTACAGACTCTGTTTGAACAATAATAGCCTTTTCTTACATTCTTCTACTAACTAACAACCTCTCTCGTCTTGTCAGTGGTCAATTACGTCGAAAAGTCGCAGACTCGTCAGGGAAAGGTTGAACACGAATGAGGCACGAATCCCGTCCTCGTGATGTTTACTAGGTAGTGCTATTGAATGCACATGCCACACTATCCATGCTTTCGAACCCAAAAACAAAAGCCATGATGGTGAGCCTTGGCCACCAAATCCGTGGTTCATGCCTATTTTCCAAGCAGTGTGTTTAAACTTGAAAACTTCTCCTGGAATCTCAAAATTAAAGGGATGCATTCAGGAAAGAGTGTATTTTTCATATTATCTAGCTAAAGCCAAGGGCAGTTCTTAATTAACATATTGAGTAGAGTATGCATTTGAGATATAGTTCTTCTTTATCTTATATTCTTAATCACTAATGCAGGAGAGATGGAATGCTTTTAGCCGACCAAAAAAATTTCGGTTTTTCTCTTAATCTGTAGAATATAGGCTAATTATAAATAGAAGTACACGTTCACGATTTTATTATTTCTTTGCTCTTTCCCCCATGCTAAGGAATTCCAATACAAGAGTATGATTCAAGCCATTAAATAATGAATGTTACAAATCACACTTTCCTGAACCCAAGTTTTTTGGACACAAATGTGAAGGGCAGGGACGCAGCAGGAGGAGGAGCAACAACTGGACTTGGACTTGGAGTACTTGCAGAGGAAGCTATATAAACCTCAACCTTTTGGCCTCCAGCGCAGTGGCCGGTGAAGGTGCAGGTGAAGTAAAATGTGTCTGACGAAAGAAATTGAAGTCCACTTGGTCCATCGAGTTTAAACAAGGGATCTGTGGTGTTGCAAATCTCATAGTTCTCCTTGGTTACTAAAGCCACAGTATGTTCTCCTTCTGTAAAGTTGAAGTCTGCACACAACAAGGATATCATCGTGTAAATTAGCTAAAATGTGTCGGCATGCATGACACTTTCCAACACGCGCTCGCACTCACACAAAAAGATAATGAAATAAATGGAGAATGTAGGAAATAAGTTGATTACATAGAATATCGTTAACTACAAATCTATACTTTGCGGCCCACGAAGCGTAACTGGCTGCCCCGCCTGGCGGCACAGTCCAACCCAAGTCGTCTCCTACTACATACTCTGCAGCTTCTGTTGTATGTAAAATCGTTGATACTGCTACCACTGCTATAGCTAGAACCATCACATTCCCAAAATTCATGGTTTTAACCATCCTTTCCTGCTCTTTCTTCCTTGTATATTGAAATGAATGCTAATGTGTGTCCTAATTGCATTAGTTTTTGAATGTATATATAGAGGACAACTTGAATTTAGGAAACGGTTGAGTGAGACTATCCGCCATATAATATGATATGTGCACATTCTTTTTGACATCCGGCAGTTTATAATTTAATAAATAATTGCAAAGCTGTATAGGAGAAAGTACTTGACCACATGTTGTAATTATCATAACTAGTTGTTTTATTGTATGAATCATATTAAAAGGGCTTCGGACGAGCATAGGATCGTCCGCTACAATATTATATCTCAATTGGGCGGAGCCAACTTGGGGATAATACATGTTTTCTTTAGAATACGATTTCAATTATAATTTTTTAGAAATTAGCAAAGAAAAAATAAAGTCTATGTGAGACATGTAACCGGCATCAAGCTGAGAAATTACATGGTATATTAGGCTTATTTTTAGCTACGTTCATTAAAACTCTATTTTAATCTCGTTTTGCTCTTTATAACTCAAAAGTCATCACTTTACCTTCTGAAATTCAAAACTCATTTCACTTTGACTTGTGGACTCTCTCCTCGCCTTGAAACTTATAGGTCGCCACCTAAAATATGTGGGATCCAACACAAAATAAAACTATGTCACATGTGCAATAAATTTGATTATAAATTTCCATTATGTGTTAACATTCAACAATAAGAAAATATTAAGTTTAAAAGAAATTAAAGTGATGAAAAAAATAAAAATAAAAATTGATTAGCCTAGTGTACCCAAATCAAACTCACATAAGAAATTAACAAATCTAAGACAATGTGGAGCAAATTTTGAGTTTTATAGAGACGACTTTCAAGTTTCAGGTGGCAAAATTGGATCAAAATCGATTTCCAAGGGGCAAAGTGGAGCAAATTATGAGTTTCAGGGAATAAAGTTGTGACTTTTGAGTTACAGGAGCAAAGTAAAATTAAAATCAAGTTATAAAGGGCGTAGCTAAAATAAGTCATGTGAACTATCTGGTCTTCCATAAACCAACACAAGTACATATTACCTTAAAACTTCTAGGAAAGGGAAATCTACATACATAAATGCTAATTTTTCAGTGTGACCAGCACATGAAATGGTACACTACGTGTCATTATACAAATGGTGAGATATGTGTGTTAAAAAGTTATTAACTTAAAAAATAAAATTTTTCACCACTTACATAAAAACACGTAATATACCTATCCGTATTCTTGTTATAATGAAAATTTTCTCCACGGTTTCAAGTGCTACAACTCTAACCACACTATTGCCCCAGATCACCACCATACCAATTTCATTCTTATCGTACTTTAATGTACATGCCATTCACGACAACTTTTGCTTTTTAACTCTTAATATTTTTTTCCCTTTCTCTGTTTTCTTTTTACTGAACTTAATTTCGACCCGTAAGGAATTTCATGCTGTAGATATATCAGTATAATTAGCTCACCCCTCTAGAAATTATTGGCTACGTACATCCTTATCCTATCTGCTGCACAGAATGTTCTAGACGATTATTGGGTTGTATACTACAATTATATAACATCTCGTAATCCATCTTCTACGAGATGAAATCAGAGATTCATGCAAGGTATGTGTTTTTCACACACTTCTATTTTTTATTTTTTTTTACCATCAAATTAAATATGTCAAACTAAAATAACTGACATCAAGGATTAAAATATCGGCCGTGCAGATAATATCGGGCCTCCAATTTACTGATATTTCGGAGGATATATCGTTATCGTTTTAGGTATCGGGAAAAAATCAACAAAAATGACAGATATAGGCATTGAAACACATTATTTTGGTCTAAAACTTTCATAGATGTTATGTACATTATCAATGAATGTATTGAACAAATAAAACTCAAAATTTACTAATAATAAGATATACATATGATGAAATATAAGTGGTATGTAATACGCGTTAACGAAAAGTTTTCTAATAAAATGTTTATTAGAATGAATAAACCATGCATAAATTCATAATTTGTTTAAACATTAGATTACAATTTAGATAAGTGTCCAACTATATAAATGAAGAGCTCCTATGAGGTTCAAACAATGAGGAACAACCATCTAGATTCATACAATAGTCATACCAAGTCATGTAACCCGAGCAGTTTGTAAGCCATGTTTGAACATGGTGCACATATGTCTCTCTTGAGCTCCTTACTATCCTCCCATACATGGGATAGTAGGATTAACCCAACTAGTAGGTTCATAGTCTGTTTCATCATCTTGAGCTCCATAACTAGTTCCACTATAATCATACATGACATACCCATAGCCATCATAAGATTCATTTGAGTTAGTACTAGGTCTAGTTCCTATGCTCATAGATCCAAAACTGATCGCCATGTCATCTTCAGATGGATTGATTGGTTGGCTTCTTTTCCCTGAGTATTGCTTCCCAATTGCGCCAATGCCTGGTCCAGCTTCTCTACATCCATGATCCTCATCTTGGGTGGCATGAGTAAAATCAGCCTCGATAGTAAATGGGCTATATTGTCTTCCTTCTTCATTACCTCTTGATCCAGCATTACTTCCTCCATCATTATTTGACGAATTAGATGAACTTTCCTTTCTACTAGTACTGGCATTGTCTCTCAAGGGACATCTTTGACCTTGCTAAGTGCCAAGCATATCCCTTTCAAATGATGAGTATCTCCACTCCTAACATCTTCGGATATGACTCTATCAACATCAACTCCTTCTTGGGCAGCATGTTGTGCTATAACAGCATCAGGGTTGCCTTGTTCATCATCCAAGTGAGCTGTCATAATCCATTGTTGAATTGGATTATTATCATCATCAGATGGTTGCCCTTAATGTCAAGAAGGTCTATGTAGTCATTTTCAGACACATGTGCATCATTTTCTTGCGGGTATTAAAGATATATTTGACCAGAAATTTAATATTTGGATTTGTGTATTTCTTTCTCTTCAGATAAGACACATACGTCCCCTCAATTCATTGTGCATAGATTCTTTATAGTAATAATTAATGGATACTCCAAAAAATCTTTTGAATTGGATATTGCCAAAAGCCTTCACACATATCTAATCACTGCCCACATACCTCCAAAAAATCTTTTGGGTTTCAATTTGCTTCAAAACTTTTGAATTTTTTTGGGTTTTGTTATAGGTATCGGGAAATATCGAGACTATCGGTAAAATATCAGAGATATCGCACTTATCGGGGATATATCGTCGATATAGGGGAAGATATGGCCTTATCCCCCAGTATTGGTATCGACAGTTGAAAATATCAATATATCGGCTAATATATCAGTGTATCGGCCGATATTTCAATCCTTGACTGACATTATTAAGCAAGAATATGTGAGATGTTAAAATGGTGTGTTTTAATTATCATTTCCATTCATGCAAAACGACCAGTAAGCGAACATGAAAACAGAAGCCATGCGCATCATAAATCATATATATAGTAGCTATTTTTAAGGTAATATGGATCACACTACGTACATGATGCATAGTATAAAGTGCCAATACTAATTTATAAATTAAAATAGTACTGCTCCACTTGGCTGGCATATAAGAGCCAGGCTTAGCGAGCAAGGAATTAAAGGGGCTTCGTTGTAGACATTAATTTCCTGAAGCCCTATTCTTTCTTGGACATAAATTTGACTCCAGTAGCATGTTGATGAAGGGAATCAGTCTGACTTTGAGTTGGACTTGCAGTTAAAGTGGAAGCGAAGTAGCTTAGAGAGCAATCTTTCAGCCGTTGGAGCAATGTCCGGCGTAGGTGCAGGTCATATAATATGTGATCTCTGAACTAAATTGATATTCCCCTGGTGTCTAGAATTAAGATGAGAGATTTGTGTTAAGTCATACAATTGACCAACTATAATAATTTTATATCAAACTCGCCGTCAATGCGAATCAAACCTAAGGCCTTTTAACTTTACAAGTTAAGAGAAATATCACTAGATGCTAATACTAAGTAGTATTATCATAATCAAGTAGATTAAGGAAAAAGTACATAATGAATCAAAATTAATTAAATTTCATTGAAGTAGCTCACTCAATATCGTTAGCTACCAAGCTATGTTTGGCAGCCCATGCAAGCACAAGTGGCAGCGCTGCCGGGAGGATTAATGGTCCAACCCAACTCGTCTCCAACTGTCGCCAACCCTAATATTAACATATTAACATGACTCTGTTCCATGCAGCATGAGTATTGACGTTGTTGCCACCACTGCTACAACAAGGACCATCACAGTATTCACATTCATGGTTTTACTATCTTTGATCATTTCTCGTACGTCCTAGCTAGTGTTGTTGTATATACTGTTAGAGTATAATTGTATGGATGAGATCTTGCCATTTGTAATTAGATTAGGTGGTATGTTAGATTAGTTAGTTTGTTAGGAAGTCTGGTAGAGTGACTAGTTCATTATAAATACATTCTCTTGTAATTACTTCAATATTAAGAATACAATACAGAATTCTCTTTTACATTCTTACTTCTCTCTCTCATAACTCTGCTTCGTATTCCTTCATATTAGCATATACATGTGTGTATAGTGATGGGTCAATGAGGTAGCAAGTGTTGGTATTCTGCACGCCAAATCCCTATTGGGATTCGTCTAATCCTTAAATCGTTTTTTCCTTTCTTCTTTTTACTTTGTAGGCAGAACTCAGGCTTGAAATTGGAATGAGTAACTTGATTGCACCACGAATATTTGAAGAGCATCGCAACATTACAAAGAACAAAAGATTAAATATCGCTTCAAAAAATAACCAGGAAAAGAAATACCGAGATGAGTGGACTTAATTATACATAAATCATCATTTCATTATTTTGTTTTGTGAATCACACCACATACATTCACTATTTCGGGTCAAACTAATGAACGTAGTACAAAGTTCCTCTAGTTATTAGTAACTAAGGTAATAAAAAAAATAATAATATATTCCTCTTTCCTCTTGACAAAGCTTGCTTGTATTACATCATAATTTAAGGAAAGTAAATAGAAGGAAAGCATAAATGTTACAACTTCCTAAAAAACTCTCATCATAATCTAAATGGACTTAACAAATTCCTATGTAATTCAATGTGCACAGCCATTATTATTCCAATTCCAATGCAGGTGAGCAATTGCCAAGTTGTATGCTTACTCCCGCGCCAATTCACGCCATTATATTATGAATGTAACTTATCACACGTTCCTGTACCCGAGTATTTTGGACACAAATGTGAAGGGCAGGGACGCTGCAGGAGGAGGAGCAACACCTGGACTAGGACTTGGAGTATTTCCAGAGGGATTGATGTAAACCGCAACCTTTTGGCCTCCAGCGCAGTGGCCGGCGAAGGTGCAGGTGAAGTAAAATGTGGCTGACACAGGAAATTGAAATCTTCTTGGTTCCTTAAGTTCAAATAAGGGATCTGTTGTGTTGCAAATCTCGTAACTCTCCTTGGTTACTAAAGCCACAGTATGTTCTCCTACTGTAAAGTTGAAGTCTGCACAAAACAAGGATATCATCGTGTAAATTAGCTAAAATGTAATAATGCATGCATGACACTTTCCAACACGCGCTCGCACTCACAGACAGAAAGATAATGAAATATATGGAGAATGCAGGAAATAAGTTGCTTACTTAGAATATCGTCAACTGCAAACCTATACTTGGCAGCCCAGGAAGCTTAACTGGCAGCGCCGCCTGGCGGGACAGTCCAACCCAAGTCGTCTCCTACTACATACTCTGCAGCTTCTGTTGTATATAACGTCATTGATACTGCTGCTACTGCTATAGGTAGACCCATCACATTCCCAAAATTCATGGTTTTAACCATATTTTCGTTGCTCTTTCTTCCTTGTATATTGAGATGAATGCTAATGTGCTTCCTAATTGCATTAGTTGAATGTACATATAAAGCACAACTTACATTTAGGAAACGGTTGAGTGAGACTATCCGGCCGCCATAGAAAATGAGATGTGCACATTGTGCATGATATCCGGCAGTTTATAATTAATAAATTCATTAACTGCAAAACTGCATACGAGATAGTACTCGATCAAATTTTGTATTTATCATAACTAGTTGACTAATTGCATGAATAATACTAAAAAATGGCTTCAGACGAGAATTGGATCATCCGCTTGAATAATATTCTATCGTAAGGGCGGAGCCAACTAGGGATAATACATGTTTTTTTTAGAAATACGATTTCAATTTTATTTTTTAGAAGTGAGCAAAGCGAATAAAGTCTAAGAGCATCTCCAAAAAAGATGTCAAAAAATCTACATCAGTAATAACGGTAATAAAAGACATCCCTAGTCTTTTCCAACCGTAATGTCAATTCCTATGTGGCATGACATGGAAAGGTAGTAGAGAAAGTTGCTGTCAGATTTGACGGCAGCTTCAAATCTATTTGTAGTAATTAATAAATGATTTTCATAATTTTTATACTTATCTTTTGTTTCAAAATACTAATTACAACTATAAAAAGTAAATAATGTAATAAATAATAGTTTAAATTTGACATTGGTTGGTGAACAAAATTTATAAAATAAAAAATCAATGTGCCACATAAGCCTTCAAATTTAAATTTTGTGTTTAAACTTTGACGTCTCCTTTGGAGATGGTCTAAGTGAGTCATATAAGCTGACAAATTAATTACATTGTATATTATCGCAAGTCAACTATCTGGTATTCCATAACAACCAACACAAGCACATATTGTGTGGCCGTTGGACTTATGCGCCCACTTGCTATGTTACCATAAAGAAAGTTGGTTTTCCACCATCAAATCAATTGGCAATATAGATCAACTTACTTATAAGTCTGTGCAAAGTTTCTTATTTCATCATAGAACTCTTTTATCTTCACATTCTCATAAAAGTTAGGCTCTTTATGGATTCTTTGTCACCTCATGTTTTTGGCACAATGTTTTATAATATTGGCACGAAAATTAACATTGAACTATGAGGTGTCAGATAATCCATATAAAGTTCTATTTTAAGAGAGTGCAAAGCCTCGGAAGTTTTGGGCACTTCTTTTAATAACTAGCTACGGATGATGGCAACGGCTCACTATTCTGCTAATGGTTTTTCTTTATGAATTTTTTCTTGTTACGCAGACGTCAGGTTTGAAAGTAGAATGTATACCATATAATTCGGATTTATAAAATAATTAACCCACGAAAAAAAAAACAAGAGTGGACTGATAAATCATAATTTCATTATTTGGGTCTTAGAGGTCACACCACATACACTTAGTACAACTACAAATTACTAAGTGCCTCTAGTTATTTGTAAGGAAATAAATATTACTGTTCCTCTTGGCATATAATTAACTGTAGGAGCCAAGCTTTATATAGCTACAGGAATTAAAGGACTCCATCATCACAGCACTAATTCTTGAGCCTTATTCTTTCTTGGACACAAATTTGACCGCATTAGCATGTTGAGTAGCAGTTTTGTCACTTGGATATGAAGATGGACTTGGAGAAGGAGAAAAAGCGGGAGCAATATACAGAGCAATCTTTTGACCTTTGGTGCAGTGGCCGGCGAAGGTGCAGGTCAAATAATATGTGTCCGACTGACGAAACTGAAACCATCCGCCTTCTTGGAATACAACTAAGGGGTTGTCCGTGTTGCAGGCGTCGTAGTCCTCCTTGGTTACTAAAGCCAAGTCTTGTTCTCCAACTTTGAATTCAAAGTCTGCACAAACAAGCATATCATCAATGTAATCATATTGCATGATCATATCATTATATTTAAATTGAAAACAAAATGACTATCAAACGGCTTCTAAAAGTACATAATACGTGGGAAGTAAATTTTAGAGAAGCTCACTTATAAAATCGGTAACAGACAAGCTATGCTTTGCAGCCCATTCTTCGTACGTAGCAGCACCACCAGGTGGAATAGTCCAACCCAACTCATCTCCCACTGTATATTCTCCAGCTTCTGCTCCAAGTAGCGATGTTGTTGTAATCACAGCTAGAACAAGGACCAACACAGTACTCACATTCATGATTTTAACCATCTTTTAATTCCCGTATTCGTGTTGTGTTCTTGTACTTAGGAAGTTAGCAGTGCAGTGTTGGGATGCTGTGAGGTCTGAATTTATTCTGGGGAGACTTCTCGGATTTTAGGAAGCAGTTCAGGGTGTCCGGCAAATGCATTGTCTATGACGTCCGGAAAATTGCAAGCTAGCTACCTTGGTGTGTATATGAGGTGCAGTACTAGATGGATCAAATCACTGATTAGGGATGTTTCAATGAGCAGGCGGCGATGTTAATTATGTTTGAAAAGAGAACACATTTAAACTTTTAAGTCATGGTAGCTACTGAACCACACAATAATATAATAATATATGGACTTTAAAGTGTTTTTTGTGAATTTTGAATTGTATATAAAACACAAACCTGCAGGCCATTGCATTGCTGATTCCTGAGAGATTTTTCAATGTGACGGTCACACGAGATGGTACATCACATGTCTTTATATATATAGTGGGTTATGTGTGTTAAAAAGTTAATAACTTAAAAATTAAAATTTTTCACCACTTACATAAAAACATGTGGTATACAATCTATATTCTCGTCACAAGTAAAAATTTCTCCTAATTCCCTAGCAAAGAATTGTGACAAGTAATGTAAAATTGGTCACTCCGTTCAATTAAGAAATGGGGCACTCGTTCAAAGGAACTAGTTATTATTTTAATATTGCTCAATTTTTTTTACTTAAGGGTGATGATGACTAAATCCGGCAAGAAGAGTTTGACCTTTGGCATGATTAAAACCATTATTTAGCTGTCCTCGATCGTAATCGATAAACAATTTTAGTGTCTCATGATTATATATATGGTGAATTGTTATTTGTATGTAAGTTAAACTATTTTTGCTTCATATCAAAACACAAGGAAGCACAATTATTTTCTCCTTTCAATGAAGTTTTTCTATGCTTTTCAGCTTGTAATAGCGGAATAAACAATGTCAAAAAGCAATTAAGTTATGTTTGGGTAAGACACCTTTAATTTAAAAGGTATTGAAGTCATGTCACACCCTGAATTCGAGATCAATGAAAAAAGAATAACCCCACACTCAATGTACAAGTAAAAGTAATAAAAACGAAAATAAACGAACTCCGGGGTTGAACAAGGCACGTATTCCCGAATATTGTTTGGAATTTTGGGTTAAGTATTACTGCAGGACCAATTGTAATTCCTTTGTTACGTATATTGAGTAGTTTATTTCAACACAAAAGATCAAATTAAAGTCATCATGAATATTGGATTAATGGAAGTCTAGTGGAAATGCAGTATGAAGCATTGAACTCACAATATTAACTTAAAATTAATATTCAAGAACACGAGTACTAGAAGAGGCAGAAAAGAGCAATGGCAATGGACATAAAAACAGTAGAAAAAGTAGAAGCTAGGGAAGAGGCTGCAGACGGAGAAGGTGCTGTTGTGGTTGGTGGCGACAAAGGAGTCTTAGTGTCAGAAGGAGGAGGAGCCATTGTGGTTGGCGGCGACGCAGGAACTTTACTGTCAGAAGGAAGAGGGGCAGCAGCACGGCTAGCTGTCACTTTGATGCTCAACTTCTGACCCTCGCTACAGTGGCCTGGGAAGGCGCAGATGAAGTAGTAATCGCCGGTTTCGTTGAGGCTGTAACTGGCTGGTCCTTGGTTTAGTACGCCCAGAATATCGGTATTGCTGCATTCATCATAAGCTTTCTTTGTAAGTGTGGCTACATCATGTCGTCCAGTTGTGAACTGGAACACTACCAGAAACAAAAAACCAAACTAAGATCATATTGAACTTGTACGAATAGTAAAAATTTAGGTAGCATTTTGACTCTTATGTTTCAGTTATCTACACTTCAAACTGCATATTTACGATTTTTCAGCTCTCATAGGAGTAGTACTAGAAACTAAAGAATGAGTATTGAAATCACTAGCCTTAAAAACGTCAGCTCGCTTAATAACCAAGTTTTCAGTTTTTAGTTTTCTTGAAAACTGAAAACCAAGATCAAACCGAATTTTGAAAAGTCACAAAAGTAGCTTTTAGTTTTTATTTTTGTGAAAACTGAACATCTATTATACAAGTTTTTGGTTTTCAAAAAAAGTAAAAAAAAAAAAAAACAAAATGATTATCAAACGAACTCTAAACTAATCAGAAAATGTTAAAAAAATGATTAATGAAATTGAAAGGTAAATTTGGATTACCTAGAGTGTCGCCAACTTTGAAGGTATGTTTGGCAGCCCAGGAAGAATAAGTGTCGGAATCAACAATGTTGGTCCAACCCGTAGCATCACCAACTGTGTGTGTTTCAGCTTCTGCTCTTTGTGTGATCAGTGCTGTTGCTGTTATTACAACAAAAGCTGTCGCAAAACCAAGCATTTTAGGCACCATCTCTCAAATTCTGCAGGATATCTGTGTGTCCACAGGTTGCCCCCACTTATCAAGCTACCTGTTTGGTATATATTTTGGTGTATGTTGGCAATCCTGGTTCTCTTTACAATATATAGATATAGAGAGGGACTGCCCTTTGCTTGCATAATTTGGGTGGTGGTTGCAATAGGCTTGTATAAATAACATTATCAGCATGTGAAGCCGAAGTCAATGACTGGAAACATGTTGATATCAAATGGTGCGATGAATTATTCCTGACTGACTTGGTAGCTTCACATCTCATGAGGCATATAAATTTATTGGGAAGAACGTTTACCATGCTGAAATTGTAATATCAACTCATTTATTACGCGTGAATTAATATTATCACGCGACAGAAGTATATATAATCGCAAAAATTTCTCCAACTTCATTGTTATGTACTTCAATCTCAACTCTACCTTTACGTGTCTTTCAGTTAAAAGTAATGTTAGGGAGACGTAATTTGTAAACTAAATTTGCAAACTAAATGATGTGGTTTAGGTAATAATCCACGTTTATCAACGTTTAAGTAATAATCCAATCATCAACTTCCATGTTATTTAGTTTACAAAATTTAGTCTCTCTAGCATTACTCTTCACTTAATACACAAAGGCTAATCCGCTCATAGGCTAGGGTGGGCACTAGATCAGTAAACAATTTGGGTAAACAAATTTTTGGTGCTAATCCTTATGAAGTTCACCTATTTAGTGAAAATTAGCTCACCTCATATAATTAAAAGTTGGACTATATGTCACTTTCGTGAAAATTTCTGACTCCATTCTTGGTTAACTACTAATTATACGTTTTATATGTCACTTGAGAGGTTTCGATTGAGAATGAAATGCGGCAACTTTGAAAGAGTAAGCGAAATTTGCTTTATACAAATAAATATCTGTGAGACCAAATCAATAATAATTATGTATTGCGACCCGCACGATACTATAAACCAATGTATCTATCCACTCCTTGTGAGCATATTAAGATTGCAATGTGAGAAAGAAATAGGAAGTTTCTTATTGTTTATGATTTATCTACTCCTTTTGCATGACTTATTCTTTGGAAACTTTAAATTATTTTATCCTAAGTTTTTAATTCTATAAAAAACTTGTTATCTGAGACAACAGAGAGATTTTTCAGTGTGTCCAAACACGGGGATATATGATTCCATGTTTCTAGCACATTCAAGAATTGCTCGTGTTGTCTAATTATGAACTTTTTTTTTTTCCAGACAAGCAGAAACCATATAATTTTGAACTTTTCTTTTCCAGAGTAGCAGATTTTTTATTTTTTTTATTTTTTATTTTTATAATGCCGTGGCCGGCATTTCTGTTTTTTTCTTTTTGTTCTTGCTGTAAACGATTCGGCGTTTATTATAAGAATGAACAATGGAAGTCTTCCATATGATCCATGACGAGTGACATAATTTCCTCGTGCCTTAGTGAATACGAATCCGGAAGAGACTTTTTTTTCCCGCCGTTTATCCAATGGTACTTCTTAGAAAAGTGATTTCTAAGAAGCAAAACTGATATACATTTCATCATATGGATACACTTGATAAGCAACGGCTAGCTGCTAGCATATAATTTACGAAACTCAAGAATCAGTTCAGTTACAGTGTTTGTACTTTGACGGAGATTCAATAACCAAGCTCTGAACTCCGACTGCCGCCGCTGCCCCGGTCTGCTCAATCATTATTTTAAAAACAGAAGCAATGATGCAGAAGAAATTGATAGTATCAAGAATTGCAAACGAGAGCAACCTTGCGCTCCGATGTGCTGTAACAACGTACATAAGGAAACCAATGAGATGAGGAAGCTCTTCCAATAATATAGTAATTCAGTAACAAAAATCGTTTAATGTGTTTAGCAAGACCACAACTGCTGAAACTCAAAAGCATGTTATACAAGGCAAAATGCTTTCGTGATGAAAATCTCATAAATTCCTTTAGACTTCAGAGGATAGCAAAGCCGTGCATCTTAACATTGAGGTTGATATCCTACTGTTCAGTTTATTAGGCACCTCTTCTTGGTGAAGGTGCTCAATCACTTCCTTATTGGCGGCTAAGTACTACTGTTTTAATTCTAATACCGAAATGCTTTTATATGTTTCGTATGCATGTAACCCTATTTCTAAGGGCAATGATCAAAGCAACGCAATGACAATTTAAGGTAAAGTAATGGGATTTGAAATTAATCATTGTTTCTTCAAACCAATATTTCATTTACTTTTATGAAAAACTCAGAACAAGCAACCCAATCGCCAAGAAATGAGCATTCAAATGACTTTTATGGAAGGTAAGGGAATTTGTACCTTTGAAGATAAAAGCAATGAATCTGCAGACGATGATACAAGTCCATGATACCCAATATCATATGCAATGGTCCCATCAGGCTTGAACAGTCCAAAATTTCGTTCAGAGGTTGCACCAGTTTTCAAGTTCTCGTTAAATAATGCAAAAATGTATGCCTTCACTACAAACTTTGGCCGCATAGGGGTCCCTTTTTTCTTTGCTAGCCTTTTACGTAGATTATAATTGTATGTCCTTGCATTATTTACAGTAGCTGCAGCTTCATTGTCACCTCCATGTGAAGCCCACCCTGTCTCTGTAACAATAACTTCCATCTTTTTGAACCCAGCATCTTCCAATGCTGCATAGGCTGCATCAATCTGAGCATCGAGCATATTATCATAATGAAGGTCAGTTTTTGGATCAGAAATTCCCTGAGTTTTCTGGAAAAGAGCATAATTAATATCAATATTCTCCGGATCACTCATGTAAGCAAGGAACGGGTAAGCATTTAAACAGAAGGGAGATCCAATTTCTGAGAAGAACTCCAAAAGTGGCTTCATGTACTGCTGCTTAACAGTATCTTTAAATATACATGAAGAGGGAGGATAAGAATTAGCAAAAACGGCCTGTGAATGTGCAGTCGTAATCTGAACTACATCAGTTAATCCTAGCTTCTTGGTTGCATTGTAGATGTTTTTAACTGTGCCCAAAAGAGCTGCCCACAATTCATAATCACCCCCACCTAGAACTTCATTGCCCACAGCAATCCCGCGGATGTGTGTCTTGGGAAGGAATGCCTGCACATTCTCTTTAACCCAATCCATTGCATGATCCTCATTGGCACTCATGTCTTTCAGGTATCCATTTGGAAGTCCGACCACTAATTCAAGCCCAGTCCCGCTAAAGGCCTTGAGAACACTGTGATCAGCATCATATATCCTGACATTCTTTATCTTTGCTGCTCTGAGAAGAGTAGCAACTTTATCAGGAGAAGGGATGTTATCTGCAATTCTACCATAATTGATTCCGTATGCTCCTGTGAATGCTTGCACTGCCACGGATGCTGGGAAAGAAGAGAAACAGCACCATCAATCATGTGGTCAAGTGGTACTGAGAGACGATGGCAAACATATAAAGTTCTATATTTACACTCAAACTAACATTACAATCTACTCTAGTGAACCACGCAAATGGAATAATCCAACTGAACATCACTAACTTTCATGATACTGTGATATAAAGAGTAGATCTTGATTTATTTATCTTGCTCAATATTCTGATAAACAGTTAAGACTGTAGTATCATCTAAATTAACATTGAAAAGTACGAGTCCATCAACTGGAAAATTTACAGATTGTTCATAACCATGATTAGTTCAAGAGAATTTATAATATACAATACGAATTATTCATGTACTAATCCCTCTGAATAGGTATAACGAAACAAATTTGTTGATAAGCAGGACAAGCATCTTTTGTCAACCTTTATAAGCAAGAAAAAGTTTATTCTATTTGGGCAAAAATAGACTAAAAGCTGGCGGTGAGCCACAATAACATTGATTTTGCACATAATCCCTCACCACACAAGACAAAATTCGTATCAAATAAGCCAAACAAATTCATGCATTCCTACAAATGTAAATGGTATCACTAGACGGTGAGGAAAGAGAAAGGGCCTTTCAACCTCTGCTTGAGTTCCTCTTTTTTATGGTTATGGTCTTTCTCGAGGCGCTACCTACCTACAAGGCAAGATTAATTGAACCTTCACCTTAAACTGCGACGGGTCTAAATGCAGGCACTTCAGGCAGTAGTTGTTATAGATCAATCCATGGGAATCGTAACTATGTTTCAAGTAGTCATGCTATCAAATCAATACCTGAACAAGGCTCTACAGTATTGTTTGTTTTCAATAATTTAAAAACAAAAAAAAATACACAAACCCAGAATTCAAAATCTTTTTCACTAAGGAAACTACAAAAAGCAGCTTCAGATAACCAATAAAGGAGAAAGCCAATCAATCCTCACTTACAACACACACAGATAGAGACCCAATTATCAAGATTTACCAATGTTTCCAACAGAAAGCAATCAATAGAATACAAACCTATCATCGAGCAATCCAAGTCAAGAATCACTAAAACATCCAAACCCAATTTCCAAAAATCAAGCTTTTCCACTATAAACAATCACAGACACATACACACACACTACAGTTCTATAACCATCCAATTCATCAAATTCAAGCAGATAACAGTCAAAACTCTAAACCCAACTTCACAAATCAATTAAAAAACAACAATCTATGATCAAATTCAGATCAAAGAAAGAAATTTACCAATTGGAGGGAAGAACACCAGGAAGATGAGAAAAAGCCGAGCAAAAATACAGAAGCTTTTCATGGTCACAGACAAAAACCCACCAAGAAAAGATTCAATCTTTGGCAAAGATCCAAAAGCAGAGACCCTTCAAATTCAATGCAGTGCTTCTTCTTCCTCAGGCATGCCATAAGACATCAATGTCTAAATACCCCTTACTCTTTTCCCTCCATCCTTGCCCTCATCTGGCAGAAAGGAAGCTCCCTTGATGAGAAAAGTAGGATTGGAGAAGGAGAAGATGAACAAAACGTGGGTTTTGGCCGTCGTTTTGGGAGGATCAAAGGGAAAAGGGGTTCGGGTTTTGGGCGGTTTGCTGCTTTTATCGAATCCGTTTGATGGTGTGTAAGTGTTTTGCTTACGACTCTTTGCTCTAATTGGTTTTTTGGGTTTTTCTGCTGTCCACTTTGGACTTTCACTTTGATGGGGCGGAATTCCGCCTGACTACTTTTCTACTCCCAATTGGAAAATAGGAGGATGCCATGTTTACATCAACTTGTTTGTCTCTGTAATCTCACGCGCATGCTTTAGAAAAAGCTTTACCACCTGAGTACGAAGTCACGTCGTAAGTTATTTACCATGTTACTTTTCATTTTTTTAATGATAAACATATTTTAATACGTAATTGGAACAGGGATGGATTGTCTGCACTTCCCTCCTCATATTCTTCCCATGCCCTCCTGTTTTGTACGGCCACGTTAAATCACATTAATATTTGTTTTTTGTCTTATTAGTTTTATAAAAAAATTAATATAAAATATTGACATGGCTTAATCGTGACCGCACAAAACATGAGGGTATGGGAAGGGTAAGGGAAGGAGAGGGCAGACAATCCATCTCCAATTGGAACATCGATAGTATTAATAATATGAAAAGCATTTTGATAATCGAGAATGTATCTATATTTCTTGAAATTGAATGATCGAATTAGTCACATGGTTAGATGGTTTTCTCAGAGGATGATCATATTTACCCTATTAATCAATTTAATTATCGGTTTCATTTTAAGAAGAGAATCAGTTGATGCTTTTATCATGACAGTATACATTTGTGATGGCAAGAAAAACTCACAGAAGCATTTTAATTTCTCTCTAATCTCATCATGTTATTCATCAAAGTAAAAAATCGAATTTAAAACATATCGTGTAGAATACTAGAGAGAGGCTTGATTAATTATCGTTTTCTTTGTAAGGTTTTATTTATAAGAAACATGGCTTTACCGCTCTCATTCTTCCCTTCCTACGCCCACAACACCGACCTTGGTCGTCAGCAGATTCGGAACCATGATCAGTGGTATTGGTGATGAGGACCTACTTTAAATTTATATATATATTCTACTAAAAACAAGGAGCAAAACATAACTCTAACCACAAAAACATGAAAAGCTAATTTAGAAAAATAATTGGACTATTGTTTGGTGAATTATTGTTTAAATCAATGGGTTAGATCTATAGCACACATGAGTTTGGTAAAGAAAATTAAGATAAATAAATATGATACACAATGAAATCGTTATGTACTTATATTAACATTTTAAAAATGTCATTTGATACTCGTCTTTTTAACCCTACGATTGACTTCTACTCAACCATTAAGCAGTGACGAATGAATGTTCAGAAAATACATGAATGATTGAATTGGTCTAAGAAAACATGAGTGATTTAAAAGTGACACCCTAGCTAGCACAAATAAAAGGGAAAGAAAAAGTTTATTTATTGATTACTATGATCCAACAGCAATTATAATTTTACGAACTTTTAAATGCGCGTCGAAAAATCATTTGTCCTATGAAACATCTTTGGGACCAGTCCTCTTGTCCTTTGGTACTGCATATTGCAGAGTTGGCCCAAATACACGTAGGAAGAAAACGAAATATTTTTAACTACTTTTTAGGGTTTGCTATAGTCGGTCCACCGTCGACATGAGCATTAAAAAGCTGATCCATTATTTCTCACAACGTTGGCTTTCAGCCTTCAGTTATTGCACGTTCTTCACAAATAATAACAGTCTTTGACACTTTGCCGACCTGCAAGAGTCATGATCAACTGTGTGATAAGATGAAAAACTTGAGTAATGGTGATTAACCACCACGTTCATAAAAACATCGAACTCTTGTATGTATTTTGATCTCACACTCACTTAACTCCGTTCTGCCTAAAGGGGAAGCATCATGCGCGAGCTATGGTGGACGAAGTGAAAGCGAGAATGTTGGCTCATTGGTCTCATCTAGTGTGAGAGTTGTCTTAATCAGACAAGTTTGCCAAAATTACTCTGAATCTAATTATTCACTTTAACTTGAAAGTGTCTTCATTTAGCAAAAGCAATGTTTTTCTTCGCTGACTGATTAAACTCTTTTCCAACCCGATAATTTTTCTTATCTTTTCTCAAATGTTTTCCATAGTGAATTGAGCATATAGAGATGAAAGAAAAGTTATCGAGATTCTTATATGTGGAAGTTGTCTCATGGACTTCATATTTCTTACTTATTTCAAAAGATAAGAGAAAAAAAAAATTGCCATTGGCTTGTTGCTCAACGAACGTACGATATCTGTCAACCTTAATGATTGGCCACAAGAAATACAAAAAGCAAAATCCGCGTATTAAATTTGTAGATAAAAATTTGTAACTTAAATGATATGGAAGTTAATGATTGTTGATAAACGTAATCATTTCTCATTAATGACACGTCATTTGGTTTGCAAATTTTGTCTACAAATTTAATTTTCCTAGCATTACTCTTAAACACTTTTTTCTTTTCTTTTCTGCTTCCCAATAGAAGATAGATGTTGAAGGAATAATTCATATTATGTCTCCACACAGTTATTCTTCACATGCATTTTACATGCATAAAGCAACACTATATATATGATTTTCACTTGGCAATTTAACATGTGACAATTTTAAATTTTCTAATTTTTTTCCCATCCAAATAAAAGATCATTGCTACTTGTAAGTGAAACATTTTAGATTCAACTCCCTTAATGATAAATTCAATATCTAATTATTAAGGCTTAATCGAATTCATCCAATTCCACCCCCATAATGTAAATATCATTGTATAAGAAAAATACTAGCCTATAATATTTGTCTAAAAGTTTGAACCTTATTTTGCATGAATAAATTGATATAGTAGTAGTACACTACACTCTAAAAGCTACCTGACGTTCTGGGAAGAAGCAAAGGATGGTTTTCTTAGAGGACAAGACACTTGGTAGCCTTCCTCAACTAAAACTTTGTCTTTATAGTTTTTTTTTTTTTTTTTTTTTTTTTTTTCTCATATCTTTTTTTCTCTTTCTAAAAAAGAATGAGTTAATTAAACGCGTATGTTGCTATCCCACTATAATCTCAGTTAATCACAGAAGGACAATGAAGGTTATCAGTCGCAAATAATCGCAGTGGAGGTGGAGACTTTTTTGTTTATTTCTTGGAATATATGCTCGTAAAGTGTGGAAAAAGCTAAGAGTTCTCAAGAAAGTAAGAGGTAGAGACGCTTTTGTAATGTTTGATCGATGTTCCTTTTTAAGAAAATATCAATGGCCTCCTAGGTCGTAAGTGTAATCAGAAACCGACTTAAAATTGGGTTTTGATGATGGTAGGGTTTTGTAGCTCAAGTGTTTAACAATATTCATTTTTGAATTCGAGCTAGGGCATCTGCTCGATTTCTCCTTCCAATAATGTTTATGTGTATATCAAAATAAATGAGAGTTTGGCGAAGCGTGAGCTGTTTTAATGCATATGGTATCTAATTAGAATCTGATTAGTTATTGCATCTGATGACATGAGAGGGTTGTCTTCTGAGCTGGTTTAAAGAGAGCATTTCGCCAACATATTCTGGTAAATGTGAAAAGACGAAAGTGATGGATCAAAAGATCGTTATAAAATGCAGAAGAAAAAAAAAAAAAAAGTTGCCTCAGCCTTCTGCCATACCAACTGATATGATCCACGTATATGGGAATCTACTTTTAAATCCCCTGGTTGTTGAATTTACAACGTTCCCCTTGATCCACGATTGGTAAATTAGAACCCCACATGCCCATTTTCTAGCCCGTTTGTGCCTTTATTTGATATGTTGGTTGTTAAATTTTAGTTACTCTCATCTAGCAGATGTGGGTTAGACCAGTTGATTAGAACACTTTATATGTTCGATTCACTCTTTCCGTAAATTAGAGTAGTTTGGGATATCATTTGTAGCCGAATATAAAATATTTTCTTACGTTCTGGACAAAGTTTGAGTACTAAACTTAAGAAAGAAGGAAAATTGTTCCTTTTAGGTTATGATAAGAGATAAAATTATGAACCATTTTCAAATGCCGAGTTGGTTTTGATAATTAGTGACGATGGATGGCTATATCTAAGTATATGGATTGATGGGGACGTCTGACATTGGTTTAGAATTTGAGACTAAATATTGTGTCAATTCAGATTGTTTAAGCATCAGAAAAAATAACTGAACTTTCCCATAAACATAGCAGAAAATAAGGTAAACAAAGAGAAAAAAAAAATGGCTAGACAATCTCTCTACTGACTACTGTTGTCATTTTAAGAGCAGAAGCAATGCAGCAGCGGAGATCTGGAACAAAAAGTATCGCAAACGAAACCAATCTTGAGCTCCAATATCCTGTAAGAAATGTGTATAAAGAAACCAGTGAGATAGAGGAAGAACTTCCACCAATATACGAATTCAGATACTAAAAACAATTTGATGTATTAACAAAAACATAGCATTCCGAGTGGAGCGACTTATAGTTAATGGGGAGGTAAGAAAACTTGTACCTTTGAAGAAAAAAGCAACGAATTTGCAGACGATGAAACTGTGTGTTCATCCTCTAGGAAGAGAGAATCACTTACGGAGTCATCATCTCCGGATGAGGAAGTTCCGTGAAACCCAATATCATATGCAATGTTCCCATTAGCCTTGAACAGTCCATAATTTCTCTCAGAAGTCGGCCCTGGTTTCAAGTTCTCGTTCAACAAGGCAAAAACGTACGCCTTCACTACAATTTTTGGCCGGAGAGGGGTCCCTTTTCCCATTGCTAGCCGTTTGCGCAAATTATAATTATATATCTTCGCGTTGTTTTCTGTAGCTGCAGTTTCATTAGCATCTCCCTTTGAAGCCCACCCTGTCTCTGTAACAATAATTTCCATATTCTTAAACCCGGCATCCTCCAATGCTGCATAAGCTGCGTCAATCTGCGCTTCAAGAAGGTTATCATAATGAAGGTTAGTATTTGGATCGTAACTTCCCTTAGAATCCAGGAAAAGAGCATAGTTAAGATCAACATTCTTCGGATTAGCCATATAGACGAGGAACGGGTAAGCATTTAAACAGAAGGGAGACCCGATTTCTGAGAAGAACTCCAAAAGCGGCTTCATGTACTTCTTAACATTGTGATTAAACGTGCACGAAGAGGGAGGGTAGGAATTAGTAAAAACGGCCTCCGCGTGCGGAGTATAAATCTGAATGTCGGTTAATTTCAGCCTCTTTACTGCCTTGTAGATGTTTTTAGCTGCACCCAAAAGAGCTCCCCACAATTCAAACTCCGCCACACCTAATACTTCATTTCCCACGGAAATCCCACGTATTTGTGTCTCGGGAAGGAATGACTGCACATTGTCTTTAACCCAATTCACTGCATCGTCCTCATTGAGACTCATGTCTGGCAGCATTGCATTTGGAAGTGTTACCACTACTTCAAGTCCAGTCCCTCTGAAAGCGTTGAGAACATCGCGATCAGTATCGTATATCCTGACATTCTTTATCTTTGCTGCTTTGATAAGAGCAACAACGTTCTTAGGAGAAAGAAGGTTATCTCCAACTCTTCCATAATTTATTCCATACGTTCCAGTGAACGCTTGCACCGCAACAGAGTCTGAGAAAGAACACAGTCAACACCATCAACGATTGTTCATGTGGAAATGAAGCACAACGACAACATACCAAAGCACCATATTTTACACTCAAATTAACATGACTATTTTCCCCAAGTCTCGAACGAGAAACAAAATTGCTCAGGAATAAAAAAGAAAGTCTTCTTCTCTAAGGGCAAAAAAACTAACTTCTGATAAGTGATGACGAATAAGGAGACGAAAATTCTATCATGCATCAATGTATGCAATACATTGCACTGTGGGATCATTTAGACCATCGGATATGATGGTTTCATCTAAAACTTTTAAATCTAACCATCTAGTTGATCAACGTATTGCATTCACTCTAAATAATCACAAAGATACACACTATTGCGCCAAGATTTCAGAGAGACGAGCCACCGGCCCACTACTAACCACAACGATATTGTCCATAAATCAGTTAAATATACTGTTCTATAACAATCCAATTCATCAAACTCAAGCAGAAAACAGTCTTAAACTCAAAACGCAACTCCACAAATCAATTCAAAACCAACCACCTACGAGAAAATCAAAAATAGAAACTTACCAATTAGAAGGAACAAGACCAAGAACAAGTGACCAAACTGAACAAAGAACCAGAAGCTTCCCATGTTCAACATGCGACAAAGATTCAATCTTAGGGCCACACAAAGAGGAAATCCGACAAGTACGAACACTTGTTGAATGCAGTGCTTCTTCTTCCTCGGGGGTTCCATGAGATACATTTATAAGTGATGCCCTTTTGCTGTTTTTCTCTGATGTCCAGGTTTTGCGGGTGTTTTGTGAGGAGCAGAGAGAGTTAAGGTATTGGGCGTTTTGGCGGTTTCGTTGTCGACTCTTGCTCTAGTCGGCCAATTTCTTTTCCTTTTTTTACCCACTTTGGACTTTTACTTTTGTTTGCGTGGAATTACTTTTACCACTTTCTACTGACAATTTGCCAATTGGAGGACGCCATTTGTAAGGTATTACTTCAAAATAGTAACTTCTATAAAAAGGGAAAAACGATTTTGACGGTATTTCAAGTCAAGCATTATTGTCGTATTAAAAAGTTAGATTTTATGTTTCTTTCTTACTTGTCACGTGACTTGTTTAAGATAAAATCATAAATTTTAGGAGTATATCCTCTCATATTGTTTTGACAAAAACTTATTTATCCAGAAAGATATCTGTCATTCTTTCCCTAAAAAATGAAATATATTTATCATGTTCCTTCTCCACTCCTCGAGCAAGAAGTCACTTTACGAACGCTAACATTTTGCAAACCGAATGTAGCCAAGTTGGTTAAGGCGGTATAATTTCTGTTACACATCAAGGCCCTTTATTCTGTGAATTGTCCATTCATATTACAAAAATACCCTCAAGCACTAGGAAAGAAACTGACTGGATATCTGATGGACAGAATCCTGCAACCTTATCCTCAAAAGCTCTAACATGTCAATTCAATACCTCTGAATTTTTCCACAAAAAAAAAACACCAGAAAAAATAAGGTAAAAAAAAACCAATCAAAGAAAATGGCCACAGCCATTCTCTCCACTGCAAAACCCTTCCTCCCTTCCTCTTCTGTTACTCTTCCTTCTTCACTGACAACAACACCGACATTAATTCATGTCCAAAAAACAAGTACAAGGAGAGGATTGACTTTTTGTCAGGCCCTGAGTGAAGAGCCGCAATCACCTGCTCCAATCCTCACCAAAAGAAGCCTGTCCATCTGCTTTCTCACCAGCTTTGCCTTCTCATTGGTTGGCAAAGATTTCAGCAGTTCTAATGCAGCAATTCTGGAAGCTGATGATGACGAGGAACTGTTGGAGAAGGTTAAGAAGGACAGGAAGAAGAGGCTTGAAAGGCAAGGAGTTCTCAGCTCATCAAAGAAAGAAACAGGTTTTGTTTTAATTCACTTCAAGATCCCATATAAAATGCTTAATTTTCTCTTGATGTTTAAAATTCAACGAAATATAATTCCTAGTGATAGTTTAGGTAGATTTGTGCTGATGTGAAAAAATGTCCCCCCGTCGGGTAATAAGGAGTTGGGTCACTCTTCGTATTGATGATTAGTTCTGGTGTCGAACTTTCACTTTTCTCATAGTATCAGAACAGGTTGACCTACGTGTGAAGAGTCTGAAGACCAATGGCTATATGTGCTACACATTACCCGATAAGTATTGTCCATGTTCTGTAATTTAGGCTTAAGGCTTCAGCTTGAAAGCTTGGAAGTTCATATTTTGTGCCATGGGAAGCTGCATTCTACCTGATTTTGGGCAAGTCTCGAGACTGTTTTCCTTTCATTTTTTAAAGTATTGAAAACTCAAACTGGAGAGCATGCACCTTCTATATCAACATCGTGTAGTTCTAGACGAAAAAATGCTCTTTGCACCGAACATGAAACCAAATCAGTGTGTAATTCACTTGTTCTATGAAAAAACGTTTTTGTTGGCATGCTAGAAACTTACAACAATAGTATCATATGTTGCAGGATATCTGCAGGAACTGGTGTACAGGCTGAGCAAAGCAGGCCAAGCCATTGAAAGTAACGATTTGCCTGCAGCCAGTTCGGTTCTTGGGGGCAGCACTGACACAGATTGGGTTCAGAAGGCGAATATCGCTTTGGATAAGGTCATCCCTCGTCCTTGCTTATAAGAACAGCACAAAAAAATAAATCCGATAATTAAACTTAGAGCATTGCACTACCATCATTTGTTGTGTATTGTGTTCGAATTTTACTTTGTGCTTAGTCTCGGTTTCTTGAACAGTCATAGCATCTGCTAGTTGTTACGTTGGCATTCATTGCATAGCTTTCCGACTGTTTTTCGTGTACCTTCTCAACAGCTAAGTTCTAGCCCTGAAGAGAAGACTGAGGTGGATACATTCAACTCCTCACTAGCTTCATTGATATTATCTGGTGAGTTACTCCATCACTAGAAATTATTCAATGAGATTGCATTGAACATCAATGCCTCACTTATATTACAGAAAATCATCAGTTATCTGATTGGAAAATATTCGGTTTAACATACTTTTTCGTTGGTCAATCTTGTTTTGCAGTAACCCGGAACGATGCGGAGTCCTCCAAGCTTGCTTTTGTGTCTTCTGCAAGTGCAATTGAGAAATGGACGACATTAACCGGGCTCATTGACCAGCTTAAGGGACTTTAACCATACAGAAGACCACTCATTTGATCACTTCGTTTCGTTTTTTTCTGAGAGGAAGACTATTAATTCCAATATTTCTATCAATCAGTATTACAAAAAGGAGTTCAACGGTCTTCATTGAGTTCCGGCTACCGCAGTTTTCGCTAAAACTACGACTTCCGATTTCATTGTTCTTTGTACATTGAATTGAAAGAATGATACTTTTTTCATGTATTTGCCAATCTGCACAACTCAATCAGCTATGGCTGTTTCAGCATTTTACGATCCCAAAACTCAAATCTTTGTTCATCCGAAAAAACACGGACTTATCCAGACCTGTGGAAATCAACAACTAGATCGAGCGAAAGACAAAGTTATCACTACAATAGTACAGAGCTGCACAATATTAAAATTACATCACCAGTATTTTACAACAGAATGTTACAGAGGTCACTGCCTGCTACATTCTCTCTAGTACACAACAAAAGGAGGGTACATTTTATACGTCTAAACTACCGATCCTATGGACGGAGGCTTCAATGAACAATCAAAGATCTAAAATTAACAACACTGAAACTAATGAGTTTTCCCAGAAATGTGCAAGGGTCAGAATGACGGAAGAGAAACGGGGTTTGGACGAATCATCAAGGTTCGACCCTTGCAGCCTCATTGCCAGGGCCGCCATTTTCAGTCACTTCTTCAACCTTCTTCCCGCTTCATGAACACCTGAACTAATATGTTCCTCACCATTCCCTTTCGCTGTTGCTTTCTCCATATTTTCTACTGCGGTCTCTTTGCCATGTTTCTTTTTTTCCTCTCCTTCTCCTTCATGTTTGTCATCATCAGCAATGGCAATGCCGGGTTTGCCCTGATCCCCTGCCACTTCCTCTTTCCCTGCCTCAACAGGTGGTTGCTTGACCGTTTCTTCTTTTTCCCCTTCAACCTCCTTCCCATCAACAGATGCTTTTGAATCTCCCGGAGCTGCAGCATCGCCAGGTACATTAACTTCTTGTTGAACTTTGGCTTCTTCAGGAGGAGCTGGTGCTTTTTCCTCATCTTGGTTTTCCTTCACGTCAACCTTTTCCATCTCAGTATCTGAATCCTTCTCAGCTTTTCCAGCATCTTGCAGGTCACTAATTTTTGTCTCCTCAGCTCCTTCAGGAGCAGCTTCCTGTTCTTTGTCCTCCTTCTTTGCCGAAGTTGATTTTCTGCTTCGCTTCTTTGGGGGCTCACTTTCTATTGGCGGCGGAGTTGCTTTGGCCTTCTCACTAATCCTTGCTGACCGCCTTGGTGTCTCACCAGTGCCCCAATCAAATTCTGATGCCGCAGGACCACCGGGGTGTGCTTTCAGGTACTGTTCCAACTGCCTTTTGCTGGTGATCTCTTCTCCCGTTGGTGCTGTAAATACGATCTCATTTTTCTTAGGAGTTCCACTTTGCCTGGGCAGAAACTGCATGTTACACAGACCAACCTCAGCGTGTTAAGTGGACTCAATAAACTGGAAAAAATACATAACAATATAATATGCATTGTAGGAAAAACATTTGAAAAAGGTGCTCAGAGAGACTTATGCGAAAATGGAATAAGAAATAAACTATTGCACCGTGGTAGGCAGATATTGAAATTGCACTTGAGAGAAGAAGGACAGTGATCATGCACCTTATGAAATCAACCAGCACAGAGACATAATAATTCATTGGCATAGTGCACTAAAGTTTTTTAGTAAAGTAACTTGCGAAAGTTACGAAGGCTCATATAATGGAATCAGCTAGAGCTCCAACTAAAGGGTACACTCAGAAGGCCAAAAATTAAAAAAGTTACTTTCTTTTCTTTGTATTTTAGAATATTCCATTGTCAGTTTATGTGCTCATTTGCCAAATCAATTACATGGTAAAAAATTGAACGTCTTTTGGTCAACACGATTTCCGTAATTGCAAACAACCAATATTCCCATTACTCAATCAGTTTAAATCCAACTATACATAGAACTAATCCGTTTGACCTAACATCTTAATCGTTTGGTCATACCAAAAAGAAGTCGAGTAATTAAAAGTAACAAAGATAAATTTGAAAGGCATTTGAAACAAATCAGCAATATATTGAATAGCAGAATCTCCTCAAATGAAACCACAGAGATTGTAATTGCCTCCACTTTTCAAAACCCTCAATTCTAAACTGCATTCCTCCATGAAAATATGAAAATTCTCATACAATTGGCAATGCAGAATTCCAAGCAACAAGTACAAAAATCGCTTCCCCCGAACCCTACCAGACAAATTAACCTAACAAACCATATGCAAAAGCCCCAGAAATTAAGCACAATTCCTGAAAATTCAACACAAACCCTAAAACAGAACCATTACCAAATCCTCAAATTCTACCACAAAAACCCACCAATCCACAAAACCCAATTGAAATTTCCCCAAATAAACATGAATATGCTAATTTAGCTACCCAAAAATTCAAAATTCAAAATTCCATAACTCAGAAAATTATATGGGCAAAAAAATACAGAGCCAATAAAAACAGATAGAAAGCAAATAAACCTTCTTCACCCAACCAGAAGGAGCTGGAAGTTCCAAGGACACAACCTCCTCCTTCCCACCCTCCTTCTCCACTGAGCTCGCCATTTCACTTCCCACCTGCAAAAATTTAAACAATTATTTTCCAAAACAACAAAAACCCTGAATTTTAATAACCAAATTACAAATTAAATAATTGTCAAAAAATTAAATTTAAATTAAATTAAATGCGAGAACAGTAAGCAAAGAGAGAAAGCTCCTTACTTTCTCTGTAAAATTCGAAGGCTTTGAAAAATTCGATTGAAGGGGAAGACAAAAAAAGAGGGCTAACTAAATATACACGACGTTGAATCAGAGCATTAGTGCTTCTTCTCTTTCGAGCGCTCGTCTGTGATTTTTGTGCTGGGACGTGACGGCTTCATGAGCACATGGCACGTGGAGTGGATAGGGGAATATGGACGGTTGGGATTGCATGTACGTAAGTTTGTTGGTTTTGACTTCGAGGAGCTGTGAGTCACCGCTCCGGGGTTGTGACGGTTGGCTTGTATGTGATTGCTTTTGCATTCACAACCGTACAATCACTACGGTGGACACGAGACGCAGGAGAGGAGCTCTTGTTTTGAATTTCAAATATTTTTTTTCTTTTGTCTTGGCATCTAATTAAACAGCAGAAAACAATATCCACTTATCCATAATTTGGTTTGAGATATTTTCATAATGACATATCTGGTGTAGATATTCGGTCTCGTTAGGACGTTCACGTATCTGATTATACAACATTCATCATCGATCGAAGATTACAAATGCTCGTATACATGGAGTCTCAAACTCGTATTTGCTAAAGCATTATCCTCTATGTGCATGTCTTGCGACACGCTTCTAATTACGGTTTATCATAAGAAAAAACAAAATATTGTTTGAACAACCACCCATTGTATTTCTAGTATATTTCATGCTTCAAGTGAATGAAGGGTTTTATGTGCAGCCAAAATTCAACCGTTAAGAATCTAACATCAAAAAATTCATGCGTATAATTTATATCTATGCATATATACTAAAAAAACTTGTACGTAAGATTTCGAGTCGACCTAAAATTTAAGTTACCATTTGATTGTGTGTGTTAGAGTGTAGAGTGTGGGATTGACTTAATTATGAGACAAGCAAAGAACACCCGCGTCCGGGTTTCTTATAAAACGACACAAAATTTAGGGTTATCCAGAACTACCTTATCCGGATGGACTGGATTATACCCTCTTTTTTAATCCTTAAAAATATAAGAAATAAAAAATAAAATAATAATTAAAATCTTTTCTGGGATTTTCTCCCGAACATGAATCCTCTCCGGATCTAGTTGTTCTAATCCACCTAATCAAATCATTTGGACTATTAAAATTTAATCTAACGATTAAAAATATTATAACTTTTAAAATGGGCATCTGTTTGTATCCGTTATATCAAATTTTAATAGTCCAAACAATTTAACTAGGTGAATTATGACAACTGTCCGGAGAGGATCCATGTCCTTTCTCTTTCTCCAGAGCTTTTGTTTTTTCGCTATTTATTTGCTAGCTGACAGCAAATCCTTCGATTCATTTCATGCAGATTGGCATTAAAAAAATAATAATAAATAAAAACATTTCATGCAGACCTTGAGGCCCAATTTCATGGGCTTAATTGCAGTATGTGGAGACTCCATGGAGGCTACAAGAAGGAAGAGGCCTGGATTCTACTTGACCCGGTTAAAGTGGAGTGGGTACTTTTTCCTCTATAGGCTAAAGACTTCTTGCTTGATAGATGATATTTCCCATTTCTCCGTCATATGTATCGAAACTTCAAGTCATCAAGTGTAAGACGTGAAGGAGTTGTTATGACACCATGAAGAAAGTTGAAATTTTATATCATCATAACCAATTGGTTATTGAGAAAGTAATCCGGCTTATAAGGTTTATAAGGTGTCCTAACTTTTTCGATGTGTAACTGTTCTTTACATCCTCACAGTTTACTTTTGTCAACTTAACTACTTTATATTATTCTTGGCTTTATTTGATATCTTTAATTCTAAAAATAACCAAAAAAAATATTACATGATTGATAATTTGCAAGGTTTTTATATTAGTCCCAAAAATCTTGTAAATCATACACGAATTTTTTTTTTAATTCCACAACTTCTCCATTTAAATAGGCTGTCCAGAGTTTGGATACTATATAAAAAGGATAATGTTAGAGAGATTAAATTTTTTAAACCAAATTTGCAAATCAAATGATGTGGTTGTAAATAATTGAATTATTAATTAAATGTCGATTAACGTATTTGTTTCTTATTGGTTACACATCATTTGATTTGTGCATTTGGTTTAAAATTTTGGTCTCTCTAACACTTACCCTAAAAAAAGTAAAGATTTGGACATTCTTAGTTAATTCTAACACTCTAAATTAAGTGTTTACAATATCTTACGCTCACGAGATTAAGTGTGAAAATCACTAAACTACTAATACGTACATGAATTTACGCACTTTACTTTCAATGTTTCAATCATCATTCGTTTCTAATTCGTTTGATTTTAATTTGATCTAATCTAAACTTATCCCTACATTTCCATCACATGATCTGACCTTCAAATTAAGTATGCATGCAAGATAATTTATATAGTATTTGTGTAAATATATGGATGCCCTTAAAGAAATGGAAACAGGTCCTTTCATTTCATGGAT